TTCCCGCCTCTTGGCTCGGCTCATTTCTTGTGTCCTTTTTGGCGCCACGGGTCACCACTCCCTCCTGTAGCTCGACTTCCTTTCCTCTCCTGGTCTCCCTTCCTCCCCGGCCTCTTTGCTCCCGGCCTTCCCTGGCGCATCCCGCTTAAGGGTGTGCCTTCAGAGACCGAGAAACACGGTGCCTTTTAGTCAAGGACCTTAAAGGTGGGGGCGGGATGTCTGGGACCTTGTGCAAAGCCGTGGCCTCGGGGAGCCCTTTCTTCTTGATGCGTTGGGCCCGGGGTTACCCTCCCGATGCCTGGTCTGGGCTCTGACTCAGCACGCGGGGATTTCTCGTCCTCACCTTCTCAGAGCCACAGCAGACCCGTGAGTGACATGGAGTTTCTCTTCTCTTGACGAGCCGCCCTACTCGGTGGCTTGTGTTTTGTGTTTTTGTGTACGTGTCCAGCTGAGTTTCCTCACTTAGGACATAATCTGGTGACTCCTTAATCACCTGCTGAGAGTGAGCACAGGTCCCATCCAGAGTCTCCACAGCTGTCCCCTCAAGCACCGGCACTCTGGAGGTGCCTGCCAGCCACCAAGGGCGGGTGGCCCTCTGTCCATGTGTCTGTTCCCCAGGAGCCACGAGTCGTGGGGCAGAGGCCACACGTAGTGCCTGGGTGGCTGTCAGTAGGTGCTCGAGGGACAGCCGAGTGTCGTCATGTGCTTCTGGGCTGTGCCACACGGGGTGTGGAGCCTGTGAGGACTGCATTCACGGCCCCTCTCCCCCTGTCCTGGGAGCGGTTCACAGAGGTCTCCATGAGCAGCCCCGATGCCTCACTCCTCTCGATCCGTGCCGAGCTTAGATTCACAACAAGGTCCGGTGGCCGGGTGTGTGGTCGGTGCCTCTGGGAGGCCGTCGGGTAACTGGGGGTCCATGGCTTGAGTGCACGTGTTCCTTGACTCCTGCCACAGACATGCTCCTCGACCTCAGTGATCTGCTCCAGGTAGACTGGTTTCCTTCCTGAGCCCTTTTCCCAAGGGAGGCTGGGACCGGGGCACAGAATGCGCCAGGGTGTGGTCTGTTTCAGAGCTGGGAGGGGGCAGTATACACGGGTCACACTGGTCCTGGGAGCCGGGCGGCCTCGGCCTCAGAACCAGTGGGGAGACCCAGGTGTACTTGGTCTGAGACAAGGGAGATTCTTTAAAGTGGGGGGGGGGGGGGGGCGGGTGTCATGGCACAGACGTGTGCACGGTGTGAGGGTGTGTGCGGGGCGCTCATGGATTCCACGCCTGCACGGAAAGCGTGGTCGGGTCCCGGTGCACCTGGGCCGCAGGGCCCCCCAGTGCTGATGAGGCTGGGCTTCCACGAAAACCAGATACCACCTGCATGTTCGCCGTCCTAGCTGTCCTCGTAAATGGCGTCTCTCGGGAGTCCTCTGAGGTGCTCTGGCCAAGCTAACAGTCATGTGTTGGGATCGTGGAAATGGAACACTGCACGTGCGGTACCAAGGGGGGGGCGGGGGAGGGGTGTGTGTGGCCTCACGGGCCCGGTTCCGTCCCGGGACTTCCCACAAAGGACGGAGTGCGTCTGGTGTAGGGCAGATGCTCAGAAGCCCTTAGGCAAAGCCTGGATGGGTCAGGGTGGTGTCCTGGTGGTTTCTTGCTTCACACCGTTGGAAATGGGAAACCAGCGCAGGGCCAGACAGAAGGGGTGCGTGTTCTCGCTCATCCGGGCTGGACCGAGGCCCCGGGGGAAGCCGCTGCGCCGGCCGGCTGAACCCGCACAATTTACTGTGAGCTTTTATTGCCCGAGATGGAGGGGTGTGCCTCGGGCCCCTGGGCCAGCCTGCTGGGTGGGCGTGGGGGGACCTGGGCAGAGCCGGCCAGTACCCCCAAGCCGGCCCCAGGCTCCGGGCCGCGTCCCTTCCCATCAGCGGGGTCTCCCTGGGGCCGGGACGGGCGCAGCACACACCGGACGTGTTTGTGTGCTTGTCTGTGGGTGTGGGGCAGCGTGTCGGGTGAGGGTCTCGCCCGGGGCTCTGGCTGCCAGGGGCTGACACGGGTCCTCCCATCCGTTCTTGTGTGAACGCTCGCCGAGTGGACCTTTCTCCCCGGGCTCAGCCCCCGCTCAGGCGTGGCTGGTACAGGAGCACTCGGGGCCGTCTGGGCGGAGAGCCCATCTGCCAGGTGGACAGGATGGGGGGTGCTGGCTAGCCATGCCCGGCTGTACCGACCGCCTTCACAGAGACAAGCTACAAACACCTCAGAGCTCCTGGTGCGTGCTGACGCACGTTAGTGTCTCTGGCAATAACCGTGTGTGTTGTGCGGGTGTGGCCTTTCAACAATTTGACTTTCCATTTGAAGTCTGTTCAGAGGACTGTTTCCTGCAGATCTTCATCTGCTCGGGACACGGGTAGGGTGGGAGGCGTGAAGGGGGACCGGCGGGTGCGGCAGTGGGAGGAGACGGTGAGGGGGACACTGAGCTCCACTCTGCTCCAGACGGGCATGAAGTCAGGAGGGTCAAGTTGCAGGAACTTGGGGGAGCCCGGCAAAGGCTGGGGCGCTCATAGAACGCCTGGATGTGAAGTGCAGGTCTGCCCAAGCTGGCACCTTCCACGTCCTCTGAGGGGGCTTTGTACCATCCCTTAGCGCTCCCGGACGGCCGCAGGCACCCGCCTGTGCTGCCTGAGAGGCCTTTTCTGGTGTCCCCTTGGGCCCCGGCGAAAGAGCCCTCATCCGGGCCTTCATAGGCCAGGCTTGATTAGGCAGAGAAACTCCCTGGGGAGACCAGAGACAGAGGGCCAGGGCCAGGATACTGAGGCCTGAGAGTCCCAGGGGAGGGGCGGGAGGGCACCAAGCCTGAGCTTTTCCCAATTCTGCACCCCACCCGAGCGGACTGGCTTCTTCCATGCCTGTGGTCAAGCACCCCTCAGAGGCCCCCCTCCCACAATGTGCCCAGGCCGGCAAGGGGCAGGCTCTCAGGGCGGCCGAGGCCCAGCCGCACTGGAGGGTCGCGTCCAGGAGTACATGACTGGGTGTTGCGGTTGGTCAGGTGCTGGGCTCCACAGCGGATTTGGACTTGAGGTGGGAGTGGGTGGCGTGTCGCCAAGATCTGCGGAGACCCACGGCCACGAGTGAGCTGCTCCCAGCGAGGGGCCGAGGCCATGGCTCCCGGGCCCGTTGGGAGCACGGCATGCCGTGGCCAGCAGGCCCCGAACGTGCGGGCGCACGCCACTCTGAATTACACACCTTGCACTCCGCGTGCTTCCGCTTTGCTAACTGTCTCTCAGGCAGCTTTTTTCCTCAGCAAATCGTCACTGCTGAGACGGTGGTGGGGCCTGGAAAGCTGCCTGGGGCTGGGAAGCAGGGCCCCGGGCTGCCGTGGGCTCATGGGGGCTGGCAGGGAGCTCTTACCTGGGCTCTGCGGACTCAACAACGAAGTGCCTATTTTAAGAGAAAAAAGCAAACGTTTCCTAAATTGCTATTCTCAGTACTGGTTCTTTCGTGACAGGTGAACGTTTACGTGCTGGGGAAGACCTTCCTCCTCCTGGCGAGAGAGCTCTGCATCAACGCACCAGCAATAGGTATGGCGGGGCTGGCGGGGGGCGGCGGGGGGCAGGTGGGGGGCGTGCTCGGACGGGAGGCGGTCACGTGCGGGCACAGCAGCTCCGCCAGGTAGGAAGCAACCCTGTCCGAGAGCAGCCCGGAACCCCACAGCCCGGGGGTTACCCCCGGCAGAAGACCAGAGCGCCCTGCGGTTGTGGGTGAGTGCGCAGAGAGCGAGCGGTGCTGCTGCCTTGGGGGCCCGCCCGCCTCGTGAGAACAGGGCCGGAGGCAGGTGCCTCGGGGAGGCCAGGACCCCTGCAGCCGGAGTGCCGCTTTCCTAGCCACATTCCGCCTTCACCGGAACCTTACCAAGGACTGTTTTCAGCCCGCTCGGAGGGCTTGCTCCCGATTTTGCCCACGAAGGAGGCGCAGTGTGCAGAGCCAGGCAGGGCGGGCTGCGGGCGCGGTGCTGGGTGACCCACGGGATGGTCCCCTGAAGCCGGGAGGGGTCTTGCAGGACAGGCCCGGAGGCCAGAGGGCTGCTGGATGGAGTAGCCACACAGCTGTGGCTCTCTGCTCCCAGCCCAGACCCTCCCCGAGAGGCCACATTCCTGTGGCCAGTGACACGGTCCCTCCCTGTGGAGGTGAAGACAAGGTTGTTTTCAGAAACAAAGCAACCACCAGTAGAGTGTGTGGCCTGGGAGAATAGAGACAAGGGGCTCAAAGAGCCTGCTTAACCCCAAAGCCCGCCTGGGCAGGGGCCATCCAGGGCCCGCCAGGGAAGCTGCTGCCGAGCCTGAGGCAGGAGACTGGCGCTCAGGGTCTGGAGGCGTGGACCCAGCAGAGAGCCCCGCTTTACCCCCCTCAAATCTGAGCTTCACAGCAGGACTTTGTGTGAGAGGCTACGACGCTCTAGGAAGTACAGACGCAAGCACACACCCAGTTTTTTCCAGAGCCTTCTAAAGCAATAAGCACGCCCCGGTGGTGGCAGCCACCCCGGCTTGCCAGCAGAGGGCAACGCTCAGGGACAGACGGGGCCTGCCAGGGAGGCCGTTCGATTCTAACCAGCACAGGAGGGTTTGCTGTGTGCTAGAAGGGAGTCCCTCTCCACAGACACGTGGGAAAGCGCGTGCCCGGCTTAACGCTCCTTTGGACGTTCACCCGCTGGCGGCTCTCGTCTTGCTGAAACTCTGAGACCCGGCTAGAAAGACTACGTTAGGTGGCTTCTTCCAATTTTGGTTTTGAAGGGAAGGTTTTAGGTTAAGCGTAGTACCACTCTGAATCTGTGAGGGTGGGAGCCGGCGAAGCCCACAGGGCACGCAGCGTGGGCACCACCGGGAGGGGCCCGAAGCCTGTCTCGGAACCCCAGAGCTGCCCAGCGGCCTGGACTCCGAAACCTGGGCAGGGCTGTGGCCGTGCAGCATAGCCTGTGTGTCCCCGCTCTGGCCGCAGCCGACCGCGTACAAGAGACGTACAAACTAAGCAAGGTCTTTAATGACGTCAGCGAGGCAGTCGGCGGGGGGTGAAGGGGTAGCACGGCCTCCTGCACGTCCCTTCCCCTCCCAGCGCCCCTCACGGCGTACCCATGCCACCTCAGGCATAGAAGATGAGCTCCGGGATCTGCCCACCCTGGACCCCGGTCCCGTTGGTGCTGTCCGAGGAGCACTGGAACTGGAAGGTCACCTTCCCGCACTGCACTTCCGTCATGCCTTCCTGCCCAAAGTAGCTGAGCTCGCTGCCATCCAGGACAGCGCTGGCCGTGTAGAAGGTGTCCTGCTCCACCTGCACGGGGTGCTCAAACCAGACCGAGAAGGTGTTGCTGGAGCCGTCCGAGACAAACTTGGTCAGGTTCTGAGCCAGCACCACCCCCAGCCGCTTCAGTTCAATCTTCACGCTGTACTCGGCCTTCCCGGAGCTGGAGCCGTACAAGCCCAGCCCTGCCACGAACACCCTTCGGTCCACGGCAAACTGGATGCTGTCACAGCGCCCGCGGTAGCGCCACTGGTTGCTGCGGTAGGCGGAGGACTGGAAACGGTGGCACCTCTGCGGGGCAAGGCCCTTCCTCTTGGTCAGCGGGAAGCTGAGGAGGGGCTTGTTGGCGGCCGTGTACCACAGGAAGATGCTGTGGGTCTCCTCCAGCGTCAGGATGTCCGACTGGGCAGCGCCGTTGGCGAACTCCTCCAGGGTCATGGTCGGAATCCGGACCAGGTAGAGGACGGGCCCCAGCACGTGCCTCTTGTTGCGCGGGGTGGCCGGCAGGCCCTGCCTCTTGCACTCTGCTTCCGCCCAGCTCAGGACGGCCTCGAAGACCACGGCCTCCTTGGCGTTGAGGGCTTCCCGCGTCACGATGATCTCCAGCGTCTGCCAGTCAATCTCACAGAAGCCTTCAGACCTCAGAGCCATCTCCGCCTGAGCATCGATGACCTCCCAGCAGCGCTGGGTCAGCTCGGGCTCCTCAAACAGCCGGCTCTGGGACAGCAGGACACAAGCGTTTTTGGCTTCCAGGCTGGTCTCCAGGAAATTAACACAGGCTTTAGCTAGTGCCGGCACGATGTACTTCTTGGCAGCATAGAGAGTGGCCAGCACCGTGTCGGCTTCCAGATCGATCTCGTCACTGTACATGTACCTAGGTGGGGCGGGGACCGTGTCACAGGCTGCGTGGGGCATGCCCCCAAGAAGCTGCAGGGTGCCCGCTGGCGGCAGCCAGGCAGCAAGCAGCCACCCCCTCCTCGCGGACTCGTGCAGCAGACTTACTTTAACAAGATTAGGAAGGCTGCGGGCTCCACGTCGGGGATGTGGATTTCTGACTTAACTTCTGCCAAATCGCCATAAAACATGGCATAGAAGACAGAGCTCCCAACGGCCAAGACGTACTGTGGATGACACAGGAGCTGCCCTGAGCCCCGGACCCTCCCTGCCCCCAGCGGATGCCGCACCCGGGGTACAGGGCAGCCCCTACTCAGGCGGTGGGCGGTCGCCTCTGCGGGCTTACAGGGCCAAGCCTCTACCAACCTTGTGGGCGGGCACCCTGCGGGCCGCTCCCGGGGGCCCCACGATGAAGTGGACGTCAGCCATGAGCTCGTTGTTGAACATCAGCGCGTTCCTGCAAAGGGCAGAGGCACACGGCTCGGGGGTCGGGCCGGGGCGCGGGCGCGGGGTGCGGGGTGCGGGCGGGGCCCGGGCTCACCTCTCGCGCAGGGTCGGGTGGAAGGACTGCCAGTTGGGACTCTCCAAGTTGTTGTTGTCGGGCGCGGGCGGCGCGGGCGCGGGCGGCGGCGGGACGGGCGGCGGAGCGCTGGGCGGGCCCTT